TCTTGTTTCGGTTACCAAGAAATGCTTGATTTTTTGACCGTTCACAACAAAGCCATTACCATCTTTTCCTTCTAATACAACGGCTCCATACGGTCTTACTTCAAGAACTTTAAACGGTCCGGACTACCTAGATCTCAATTTACCAGGGAATAGCTTAAGTCTCGAGTTAAACAACAGCCCTTGGTCCCCTTCTTTGAACTCTCGCTTGTGTATCTTCTTGTCATGGAGCGCCTTGGTTCTTTCCTTGTAGATTTTAGGGCTTTCAAAAGCGTCTAACCGGATCTCTTCAAGTTCATGAAGCTGTAGAACCCTCTTCTCCTGAGCTGTCTTGATATCAAAATTCAAAAGCTTCACTGCCCACAAGGCCTTGTACTCCAGCTCAACCGGTAAATGACAGCTTTTACCATAGAGCAAGTTGAATGGTGAGGTGCCAATGGGTGTTTTGTAAGCGGTCCTGTAAGCCCACAAAGCATCGTCAAGTTTCTTGCTCCAATCTTTCCTAGCTGAGCTCACAGTCCTCTCCAAAATTGCTTTGATCTGATGGGTTGAGACCTCCACCTGACCGCTTGTTTGAGGATGATAAGGGGGTAGCCACCTTGTGTTTCACTCCATGCTTTTTTAAAAGAATCTCAAGAGTTTTATTGATGAAATGGCTACCTCCATCACTGATAACTACCCTTGGGACTCCAAATCTTGGGAAAATGGTGCTCTTAAAGAGCTTAACCACAACTTTTGAATCATTGGTTGGAGATGCAACCGCTTCTACCCACTTGCTCACATAGTCCACAGCAACAAGTATATACTGATTCCTGTATGAGCTTACAAAGGGACCCATGAAATCAATGCCCCAACAGTCAAAGACTTCGACTTCAAGAATCAGGTTCTGAGGCATTTCATTCCTCTTGGATATGTTACCGCGCCTTTGACAAGCCTCACATCTTGAGACAACACTCTGAGCGTCCTTAAACATAGTCGGCCACCAAAAACCACTCTGTAGAACCTTGGCCACCGTCTTGAAAGCCCCTAAGTGACCGCCGTACGCTGAACCGTGGCATTCTTGCAACACCGGGTGAATCTCCTCTTCAGCTAGACATCTTCTATAGAGATGGTCCTTGTTAAGCACGTATAGATACGGCTCATCCCAATGATACCTCATCACATCTCTAAAGAACTTTTTCCTCTGGTAGGAATCTAACTCTGGTGGCTCTAAACCGCATGACAAGTAGTTCACAAGATCCGCAAACCATGGGAGGCTTCTTTCTCTGATCTTGTTGGCCTCCTCTACCTCCAAGTAAGACTTGACTAACATGAGATGTTCTTCGGCCAAAGCATCATCTAGAGGTACTTTTGATTTGATTCTCAGTCTTGAGAGATGGTCGGCAGCTCCATTCTCAATACATTTCTTGTCAAGCACCTCCATATCAAACTCTTGAAGCAAAAGAACCCATCTGAGCAACCTTGGCTTAGCATCTTTCTTTGTCATGAGCTATCTCAAGGTTGCGTGATCTGTATAGACAACGACCTTTGTTCCCACAAGATAGCTCCTGAATTTATCAAACGGAAATACAATGGCTATCATCTATTTTTCTGTGGTTGCGTACTTCTCTTGAGCAGAGTCCAATCTGCGGCTTGCGTAATATATCACATGGAGCTTTTTATCCTTTTTCTGCCCCAAGACAGCTCCCACGGCATAGTCTGATGCATCTGTTATCATCTCAAATGGCAAAGACCAGCCGGGAGCTTGGACGATCGGAGCACTCACCAAAGCCTCTTTGATCTTTAAGAACGCTTCCATGCATTCATCATCGAACAAAAACTCTACTTCCTTGCACAAGAGCCTTGTTAAAGGCCGGGCTATCTTTGAGAAGTCCTTGATAAACCTCTTGTAGAAGCCAGCATGCGCCAAGAAGCTTCTTATACCCTTGACCAAACTCGGAGGCTGTAGATTCACCATTACCTCGATCTTTGCCTTATCCACCTCTATGCCCTTCTCCGAGACCTTGTGACCCAACACGATCCCTTCTTGAACCATGAAATGAAACTTTTCACAATTCAAGACAAGCCTGTGCTCCTGACATCGCTTTAAAACCTGAGACAAGTTAGAAAGACAATCGGAGAAAGAGGAGCCATAGACAGAAAAGTCATCTCCATGAACACCTCCAATTTCTCTTCATTGAGGTCAAAGAAGATATGTATCATGCAACTTTGAAAGGTTACAGGTGCATTACAAAGACCAAAAGGCATGCGTCTATAAGCGTAAGTGCCATAAGGGCATGTAAATGTTATTTTCTCTTGATCTCGGGGATCTATGGGGATTAGAAAGAAACTTGAGTACCCATCAAGAAAACAAAAATAAGGATGATTAGCTAGCCTCTCAAGCATTTGATCAATGAATGGCAAAGGGAAATGATCTTTCCTAGAAGCAGAATTCAGTTTTCTATAGTCAATGCACATACAATGACCGGTGATGGTTCTTTGGGCTATAAGCTCATCCTTTTCACTTTTTACCACCGTGATCCCACCTTTCTTGGGCACAATGTGAACAGGAGATACCCACCTTGAGTCAGAGATTAGGTATATTATCCCTGCCTCAAGAAGCTTGAGTATCTCCTTCTTAACCACCTCCTTGAGGTTCGGGTTAAGATGTCGTTGATGCTCAATAGAAGACATAGCTTGGTCTTATAGGTGTATCCTGTGGGTGCATATGTCAGGAGAGATGCCTCTAATATCGGGCAAAGAGTACCATATGGCTCTCCTGAACTTTCTAAGCTCGCTAAGCAATGCACTCTCTTCATGCGCTCTAACAAGTTATCATTGATGATTACGGGACTTAAAGAGTTTGAGCCTAAGAAGCGTACCTCAGCCCTATTGGTAGAGGCTTGAGCTCAAGAAGGGGTCCATCAGCCTCATTCCAATCAACATCGAAACTGCATTGCCTCGGAACAGCTCCCTCGGTCTTTTCTTTCTCGCACGGTTTACCACTAACCTCGGCATAAGATGTCACGGCCATGATATCCCGAGGTGTCTCCCCAACAGTCTTGAACTCCCCGATGTCTAAAATGCCGAGGCCACTCTTCTTGAGCTCCACAAACCTTGTTTCAGCTTCAAGTTCTTTCGGTTAGTCCAAGAGACGCTTGTACACCTCGCTTTCATCGTTCAAGAACCCGTGCTCGCTTTGTTCCCGTGTCAAGACCACTTGTAGTGGGTCTTCTGTGTTTAACTCTTCAAGGAGCTCATCAGCTAGCTCCTCCATGGTTTCAAAATAGAAAACCTGACCTCCAATGGTCGGTTTCTTCATCATTTCTTTTACATCGAACTTCATGGTTTCAGAACCGATGTGCAACTCGATCATGCCTCATCTCACGTCAATGATCGCTCCTGCTGTTGCCAAGAAGGGTCTTCCCAATATGATGGGGTCAACAGGCTCCTTATCCATCTCAAGAACTATGAAACCCGTGGGGATCTCTATTTCACCAATTCTCAAAGGTAAATCTTCAAGTAATCCCACCGGTAATCTCACTGATCTATCAGCTAACACAAGGGTGATCTTTGCCGGCTTATAGCTCTTAAACCCCAGTCTCTTGGCCACCGAACAGGGCATCAATCTCACAGAAGCTCCTAGATCACACAAGCAACTTGAGAACTTCAAATGACCTATTGCACACGGCAAAGTAAAACTGCCCGGATCAGATAGCTTTCTTGGTATGGACCTCCTTTGAATGATGGCGCTGCATTCGTGACTCAATATTACCATACCCTGGAGCTCCTTTGTCTTGTTAAGAATGGCATCCTTTAGAAACTTTACAAGTTGTGGTATAGCTAAGAAAGCATCTATGATCAGCAAATCCATTTTCGTATTCTCCAAGTGTTTTTCAAAGACTGCCTTGGCTTTGTTTAGGATTTGCTTCTTGAAACGCCCTGGAAATGGTATCTTAGGCTGATAAGGAGCTGGTGGAACCTAAGGCTTTTCAAGCTCAGGTGTCCTCTATACCTCTTTACCCTTATCTTTAACCGGTTCTTTCTCCAAAACGTCATCTTCTTGCTCATCATTTGAGGCTGCCTCCCCACCAATTTGCTCATTGTCCTCAATGAGCTTTGTCTTAGGTGCTGGAGCTTGTAATTCTTTTCCATTCCTCAAAATGATGGCGTTCAAATACTCCTTTGGGTTAGGTTTCGGCTTGCCAGGTAAAGCCGGACCTCTTAACGATTCTGCTTAAGCTCCCGTATATTCTGTTGCATTGTCGCGTGCTGGCTCTCAACTCGTTGCTGACCCTGTAACAGCTGCTGTAGAAGCCCACAGAGGCCAGGTCCCATCTGATTCTGAGCCGTTTTTTGGTGCTGTTGTTGTTGACCCATCGGTTGTGGACTGAACCCTGGTGGAAACTTGTGTTGCTGCGGTTGGCTGTTGAAGTTGTTGCTTTGAGCCGGTTGCTTCTGCTGGCCATAACTCTGTTTTTGCCCATTGAACTGTTGCTTGGGCTGAAAGCTGTTATGAAATGGAGCTTTAGGAGCATAGTTTTGTTGGTGTTGTTGAGCAGGGTACACTTGATCTTGAGGATTGGCTACATTGGGGTTTGGTAAGAGAGGTTCTGATTGTTCCCAAAGTTTTTAAACCTCTGATATCTTTGTTGATTCCCTATGTAGTTTAGCTCTTCTTGTGTGAGACCATCCTCATTAACATTGTCAAAGCTCGGCCCTTGCTCATCAAACTCTCTACAAAGTGTATTGGCTTTTGTGTAGCCATGAGAACTTTGTCAAGTTTTCTCTGTAGCTCCCTGATGTCTTTCTCCATTCGCAACTCTTTACTAGACCCATCAGATCGGTTAGCTCTATCGAAATCCTCTCCATATGTATCATTAGACTTCGCAAGGTTATCCATAAGCTCCATTGCTGCGTTTATCTCCTTCCCAAGAAAGTTTGCGTTTGAAGCTGTATCAAGTTGGTTCCTTATCTTTGGAAGTGCACCTCAGTATAAAGTACTCAGGAGGGATGCCTCGGAGAAGCCGTGGTGTGGACATTGGTTGATATAGCTTTGAAATCTCTCCCAAGCTTCACTAAAACTTTCATTGGTGTGTTGTGTGAAGCTAGAGATTTGATTTCTCAGCTTAGCCGTTCTAGATGTGGAGGAAAACTTTGATAAGAAGGCGAGTTTGCATTGTTCCCACGTTTGTATAGAGCCCCTCTGGAGATTATTTTCCCATTGGTGTGCTTTATCACCAAGAATGAATGGAAACAGGCGTAGCTTGAAGCTGTCTTCTGATACCCCGTTTATCTTTGTCAGGTCGCAAACTCGATCAAATTGATCTAGATGCTCTAGAGGATCCTCTCCGGGCAAACCGTGAAACTTGGAGTTCTGCACCATATTGAGCAGGAAGGCTTTAACTTCGAAGTTGTTGTTTTGCACAGGTGGTGCCTAGATCCCGGCTCTATACTGATGTGCATTTGCTCGGCCATTTTCTCCAACAAATACCGGAGGAGGCTGTCTCTGAGCTGGTGGTGGAGGCGGAGGAACTTGCTGTGCTTGCTGGTCCCCGGCAACGGGGCCAATTGATAACTAAGAGATTTTGAGCTCTTTATTGAGGTATCAATCCCTGTCTTGTAGTACAAGGGGTTATCAAACCAAGCTTGTGGAGGGGCACTAATCTATGTTACTTGTAATCTTAAGTCAAGATGATCAAGCAAGGTTTTTGGTAACTAATCTACTGGAAATGCAAGAAAGAACAAAAATAAAGCAAGCGATGATATTTAGACTAGATGAAGATGCGACTGATAATAAGTAAACAAGCAAATGATCGGATGATGATGATAGATGATAAAGGCAGAGGCTTTAGACAGGATAAAGGACTCGGGTGTTTCCAAGCTAAACTAGCGAGTTATTGAATCAATATTATCAAGCACTTTCATTTAACATGAACTAAAAATATGTTAATCCTCTCATGAAGGTATTAAACATCTAAACTGATCCTCTTTCATACCAAAATCCCTTTTGAGAAGCATAAATCAGTCAGCTTTAAAATCCAGTTCAATAAGTTGTTTAAGAAGAACAAACTATCACTCTCGCGATAAAAGACTCTTAAACCCCTAACCGATTGGTTCAGACATTTCCTCAAAAACTTTTGATGCGAGGAACGTCCTAGATCTGGACCGCAAGTGATGTGCTTGGATCCAGCTTAGAGAGCTGATCAGCTAGGGAATGAAACATGCAAACTATACCCCTAAACTCGCTAATCTATCATGGATACAACCTAATCTACCTATCCAAAACCTCTTAAATGGACTACTCACTAATCATAACGAGCTCACTAAATCTTTTGCAAGGCGTGTAGCTGGTCAAGATTAGAAGCTTTGATGCTGGTGAATAAAAGAAATGAAAGAGAACAAGATCTTCACGTGAAAACGAGATATCGGATTAGATTAGTCAAGTTTCCCAAAAGAGGCAAGTTCTTACAGCTAAAACAGGCAGGAAATAAGATAAGATAAAAGATGATTAGGTTTTTGGTCCTAAAATCTATTTATAGTGAGGGATAAATGTTACGGGTCAGTCTGAAACAAACCGGGTACTGAACGTTCTTCTTGGGTCTTCGGGTGAGCACCTCGGTGTGTGAAAGAGTGAAGCCGAGGTCTTGATGCCGATGGGTGCACATGAGCAAAGATCAAGATGAAGATCTCATGAAGAACACGTCAAGAACATGCATGAACCCTAGTCTTCAATCCATCTTTACGTGCATTCTCCGAGTCAACTTGTTCTTGATTCTGGGTTTGTGACAAGGGACCTCGGCATGCAGTGCTGAGGGGCTTGGTAGTCGAGGGATTCAGGCAGATGAAGTCTGACATGCAATATAGGGGTCTTGAAACCGAGGTTCACGTCCAACACTTAGCCGTTTTCAGCTTTGCTTCTCCAGCATGCATTCCTCGATCCTTATACACCGAGGAGTTAGCACGAGGTATAGTCCAAAGAGGTTCAGGGGACGAGCCACGGCCTAAACAATGTTGAGGTAATGATGCCGAGGCTCGAAGAAGCACTTAGCGTGTATCGCAACTCCTCGGGCTCGTACTGATCAACTCGTCTTCCGGTAGAGATAACTTTCATCACATGACTCCGATTGTCTTGAAACTAATTCCACGATCAAGATTGTTGGGGTCGGTTTCACCCCTCCTTGATCAAACCATCTCGAAAATGACCAAGTACCGAAGAAAACCGATTTAGCGAGAGCAGCTTCCCGCCAGACATGAACCGAGCCGACGTATGAAACAAGTGGGCCTAGCCATGTTCATCAAGGCGAGTGGGCCGAGCCGCGGACAAAGACAGACGGGTCGAGCCGTGAAGAGAACGAAGAATGGGCCGAGCTGTGCAAGATGAGGAATGGGCCGAGCCGTTTTCTCCTATGTTGGGTCGAGCCGGTTGTTCAGATGGGCCGAACCAAAGCCTGGAAGGATTAAAACCCATAAAAACCCTAGGCAAAGTATCGTGACGGCAGCCGCACGAAGCTATAAGGAAATATTCTGAAAATCTCTCCCGAGATTCTCGGCTAGGCGGTTTAGAGAATTATTATAAATAGACGATGTACGCGATTCATTATGTAACTTTTGCAACCCTAATCAATAAAGACTAAAGACTTTCACAGCAATAAAAACCTTCCTTCGATCTTACTATTCTTGTGATAAACCCTAGAAATTTCGGATCCCTTAAGTTTTCCTTAACAAATTTTTTGGTTATGCGAGTTTTGGCTTACACAATTTGGCGCCGATTGTGGGGAATCGAAATTTTTTTACTCTAAATCAACAAGACTTTAAGATCTGAAGAACATGGCGAGCAACACCCCCGACGACAACAACAACAACAACGACAACGGCGCGGAGAAGGACGCTCCACCATCGGGCACAACAACGGCGACAACCGAAACCCAAGAGGAGATGCAAAACATGATGGCTATGTTGATGAAGAAAATCGACGAGCAGGACAAAAGGAACGAGGCGATTGATATACTCATATTTTGTCATGATTAGGACTGCATTTGTTTTTCCAAATATTGAGTCTCATGCATACATTTAGCTAGTTTTATTAGAGTTTGTCTTTGGTTCTAGCTTTGTTTAAGATTTGCATTAGGTCCTAGAGTGTCCTGCATTTTTGGAGTGTTCTCAGGTCATTTGGAGACTTTTGGGAGCAACTTGGAGCTGGGATCATGGAGGAATCCTCACCTGTGTACAGCAGCTCGGACAGATGGTTTGGTGCAGACAAGACCCTCATTTTGATCACGTGGGACGAAGGACTTGCAATGCGACTCAACCTCCGCTGTCTTCATAAAGAATCAAGAAGAATGAATCTAGTTTCCTGAACACTTGGAATCAGACGATTTTAAGCCGTGGGCTGGGAGATATTGCCATCGGAAGGAACACATGTCTCGCGGCCCGATCAGCTCTTACGCGATGCGCCTCAAAGAACCGAGGAGATGGGGGCTTTGCCAATGTCATACGGGGTTGAGCCCTTCACCAAACCTGGATCTAAGGACGTCATCTAGTTCGTGGAAGTGGAAGATCGAGGTTCGGACCAGTGAGCAAGGAGTTATGAAGGATTTGGTGCAGGCGGTCTACATTCATATCGAGAAGGAATATCGACCAAAATCTGGTCGGTATTACCTTGGAACCTTGACGTTTTTGGCTGGCTTTTGGAAGCCAAATTTCCGAAGAAATATCGACGTCCTGCACCGACTGAATTCTGCTCGGTATTGATCCCCTGAACCTATCTTTGACTCCGCACTGAGGTGAATTCAGCCGATGTAGTGTCTCGGTGTACCCAGCCTCAAATCGCCGAAGAAATATCGACGTCCTACACCGGCAAAAATCACCTTGATACATTCTCGCTTCATGACGTTTTTGTGGACCTTTTTTGGGCCAAAACCTAGTTTGTCCTAGGTTGCCCCAGCAAGAAACCCTACCTATATATATGTTTTAGGCATTATCTAGAAGACTAAGCATTATTCTCATTGTTTTCTTTGCCTCTTTTGTGAAAAACCTAAACTTTGTAAGAGAGATTTTCATTTTCTGGGTTGAATCTGATAACACCGTATTTTGACCACTTTATGGATCGTTTTGAAATACTTTTTCTATGTTTTTAATTGCTTTTAAGTACTTTTATTACGTTTTTCTAGTATTTGTAGTTCCAAGACTCTTTTCAGGTAACTTAGGAAAAAGCTTAACAAAATGGATAGAATACCAGATTTCAGCTCAGAGTCAAACCGTCAGAAGTTCACCCCCGATTGAAGGCCTTCTCACCGTCTGATCCAGCTCAAATTTGGAGATCTTAAAGATGGAAGTATCAGTTTTCCAGCACACTTTACAGCTTGGCAATCCAACGGTTCAATCAAAAGATACGCGAAGAGCAAAATGTCCCGTAAACCAGCCGGCAAGCGTTTCCACCCGCGGCCAACAGACCATACCCCGCGGTCACAACCACCGCGACCGCGGCCAGCCACCCATTCCCCACTCTCACACACATCCCGACCGCGGCCAGCTAACTCCGACTTTGAATGCCCATTTCCAAAGCCCGTATCATTTTTCCAGCCTCAATTCTGGAACCCTAGAAACCAGAGAGTATTGGAGACTATAAATACATGTCATTTAGGTCATTTTTAAAGAGAGAAGAGGAGAGACGAAATTCTTTACAGAAATGTTACTTTAAGCTTTGTTTTTAGGTTTTAGGGAGAGAGAGATCTGTCTCTTGAACCCTTGTTCTTTCTTTTCAATTTCGATTTCTATTCTACCTTTTAATACTATGTTTTTGATTTCGTTTATCATGTCTGAAAGTTTTATTGTTGGGTCTAAGGGATTTTTGATGGGGGTATATATTGTTGGGTCCAAAATCGTCAAGGTTCCAAGGTAATACCGACCTGATTTTGGTCGGTACTCCTTCTCGATATGAATGTAGACCGCTTGCACCAAATCCTTCATAACTCCTTGCTCAATGGTCCAAACCTTGATCGGTCAACTCCATGAGCCAGATGGCTCCTTCAGCTCCAACTTTGGTGAAGGGTTCGGGTTCAGATGACGTCGGCAGGGGCTCCGTTCTACCGGTTCTTTGATGCGCGTTGCTTTGGTCCTTTATCCGCT